AAGGAATTTTTTCTGTACCGCTTACAAAAAAAGTGTAAAAGTGTAAAAAAAACAAAAAACCGTTTTTTACATGTTTCATAATTTTACACTTTTGCCGTTTATTAACGATCCTAGAGATCGTTTATAATTTTGCATTGCTGTCTGTCGTCTGTCTGTTGGTCTGTCCGTCTGTTCCTTTGCCTGTCTGTCCCTCTATCTGTCCGTGTGAACGATAATTTTGTTTAGAAATGTCCGATCGCTTTTACATCTCCGTTAGTTATGAACTGAATTGCATGAAATTCAATATGGGCATAGCTTTAGCCATACAATACGCAATGCCAAAAGTTGAGTCGAATCGATTCAAAATTCACAGTGTCCTTTTCGCATCTCGACCATTTATAAACCGAATTGCAAACTTTTTTAATTATAAATTTAAATGAAATTTGATACATCGCCACTTGGAATAAAAGCAAATTTAACGCCAATTTCAAAATTTGGTTTTGCGCATGCGCAGTGCCAACTTTCTTATTTAGAAAAGCATTGAAATGAAACTCTTCTTATAAACTGAAATTGAAGTAGCACGTCAAAAATGGATTGCACATGTGCAACGCTATCTTTCATATTTGTGGCCGGATTTTTACGATTTTAACAAAAGTTGCATCTTACAAATAGGAAATGAATGCAAGTGGAAATGCGCTTTATGTAAATCGTTTACGATTACTTTTTAACTTGTTTCTTCTTCGACTGTTTAGCCTCTTCTAGCGCTTTTTCATCTACGGACGTGATGCTAGAGTCAGTAGATGGGTTTCGCATCAGTAACGTCTTTCTTTTAGCGACTCTCGATTCATCCTTCATGGGCGTTTGCGCCAGATTGGCGCTAACTCCACTAGAAGGAACGATAAAGCTTTGTACGGGAGTCTCCACACTTTGCGGTGTGTTTTTTTAGTAGTTTTTTATGTAGTTTAGCATCACAGAGATAAGCTCTTTCATTTCCTCGTTTATTATTTTTTTAATTTCAGGTATAAACCTTGTTTGCGCCAAAGCTGGAGCTTGTGCAGTTGGCGTCAGAGCTGGAGCTTGTGCTGTAACATTAGTAAAGGTGGTGCCTGAAACAACAGCAGTACCCACCAACCTTCTTGCTTCCAGATAAGTTACTTTTCTTGTTACTTTTATCTCTTGTATTTTTAGTTCATGTTTGTAGGTCTCACAAGATCGTGAAATTTGCAGGATGGTTTCCGTTACAGTTTGGGCACGTAACTGGTACCTCGCAAGGATTCCCTTCGTGTAAACGTTTTCCGCAGATACATATTTGAGGAGCTTGGCATCTTTGGACTGTATGCCCAAATTTTTGGCAACGGAAACAACGCATTGGGGCTGGTATGTAAGGTCTTACCCGTAGCTTATAAAAAGCCGCATTTATGGTTTTTGGAAGATCAATCGAATTAATTGTGAGAATATGGTTGGGGGATCTACCAGATTCACTGAAATCTTACTTTTAATACGTTTAACATCAACCACTTTTTCCTCCTTTAGCCCTTCCAAAATGTCTTGTTCGGTGCAGTTCAAAAAGTCTTCGCAATAGCTGACGCCTTTTGATACATTCAAAGTTTCATGTGGACTGACTTTAACATCAAAATTACACAATCTTTTAGTCTGCAACAATCGCTTAGATTGCTTATTTGTCGACGTTTTAATAAATAGCATTCCTTTTAGTTTTTTAATTTCATCCACTTGTCCTATTAATCCAAATACCGCCTTAGCTATAAGAAATGCACTTATCTTACTGAAATCACCATCTTCCTTTCTATGAGCAGGAACCGGGGATGAGTTTCCTCCTTTTCACTGCCCACTCTAATTGTACGGGAGGTCCCGTTCTCGTTGTCCAGAGTTTCGCAATTGTCTGTGGCACCAACCCGACGAGGGCTGCCACACGCTTCCTCGCCGTTCCTTCCAGGGGCATTTACATGCGTCGAGGTCTGGTCGCCTGCCGCCGACGCCGAGCAGCCGCTTAATATGGACCGGGTGAGACCGGCCCGCTCCGCCTCGCTCCCTGCCGGATCTGGGGACAATCCGAACCCCTGATCAGTAAAAAGTCGACGCCCCGAAGGGCTAGAGAAGTTTTCCATCATAAAAAAATCGAGTCCAGGTTTGCATTTTTCCGCTAATGCCAGCGGGCCATGGCCTTTTTTGAGTTTTAATCGTTTTTGTTTTTTAATAAGGAAAGTGCGATGTGTGACTAAAAGGAAACTGGGGGATAAAAGGATAGGAGAGTATGGAAGGTGGGTGTGGGAAGCAACAATGTAGGTAAGTACTAAAGGCGGTTGGACTCGTCGCCTTTAGTGTCCATTGATCGCCTTTTACGATCTCCAGGACGGGAGCGGGCCAATTCTATCCCTGAACCCACAGGGGAGTTTGTTAGCGTGGGCTGTTGTGGACATCAATTTTGGTAAGTATGAATTACATACTATTCCTATATTTCCTTAATATGTTTATTATTATTATACAATACGAACCACGTACAGACAAACACTAATCGTTACTTGATTTTAATCCGTGCGATTAGTTAAACAGGCTAGACCTGAGTTATCACAAGGAACACCGACCATAATAATAACAATAAACAAAGAACAGCACACAACAAAAAATCGCTCACCCCCGGCTTGGGAAAAACGCCTGATAAATCTCATCGATAACATCAGACGTGACTTGGGTCGGATTGACACAATACATACAAGGAACTCGTTCTTCAAAACTAACACGACAAGTACAACACATAACTACAAAACTAAACAATCACACCACACGAGAACAAAATACAAACTATAACGAACATAGAGATACACTCACACAAAAACTATCAATATACACAAACCGTTTAAAACGCTATAGGGAAGCTGTAGATAGAAAGCGCCATAACACACAATTTAAACATAACGAAAAACTATTTTACAGATCACTAACACAAAACAGCACTAATGAAAAACTCATTCCACCGTCTCTACACTCACTTCAGCAATACTGGTCTGACTTATGGACCAAAGACATTAAACACAATCCACACGCCCAGTGGATTACCACACGCACTGAATACATTACCTCTATGAATAACACTACAACAGACATCTTCAACCTATTAATCACTTACATAATTGGAAAAGTCCAGGCATTGATAACATTCACAACTGTTGGTGGAAATATTTTACCTACACTCACTCTTACCTTGCACAACAATTTACTGAACTTCTTAATTCACCAGGTCGCACTCCAGCATTCTTTACACAAGGTATCACTTACATGCTCCCAAAATACAACAATACACAAGAGCCATCTAAATATAGACCAATTACATGCCTTCCTACAATATCCTTACATCATGCATTACAAACAAAATATACCAACACTGTACTGATAACGACATTTTATACGAAGAACAAAAAGGGTGTATCAAGTATTCCAGAGGCTGTAAAGAGCAACTCATTATAGACTCTGTAATACTTGAACAATCCAGACACAACAAACGAAACATACACACTGCATACATTGATTACAAAAATACAATTCCTCAATTACATAATGCCATGTTGGAACACTACGTTAACACTTACACTAAACGACACAAAACTTATTACTGACCCAATACAAATTAAAAGAGGAATTTTTCAAGGCGAACCTGTAAGTCCGCTGTGGTTTTATCTTGCTCTTAATCCACTTTCATATTTGTTAAACACTACTAACTTTGGGTACAATATAAACATAACCACGAAATACATCACAACATTACACACCTATTTTACATGGACGATCTTAAATTATACTCTTCCACAAGCATAAAACTTAATCACCTTCTACACATTACCGAAACATTCTCACGTAACATACAAATGGACTTTGCAATCGATAAATGTAAAACGCAACACATCACACCTGGTAAAAGACAACTTTTAGATTATGAGCTCGAACAGAGAAACACACGTACACTATTAACAAAACACCATATACATCACCCTCACTCCTCTACTATACGACTTTACCTTCCTCGTTCGGCAGGAGGCAGAGGACTTACAGATATAAAACTACAAGATGCATAGACCGATATGGCAGAATGTTCTCATGCGAGCAAGTGGGAAGGCTTTAGATACAATTCCGCACATATCGATCGTTAAAAGCGCAACGATAATATTATTTAAACAAAAAATGCTATATTCTAGGAAATGTTTCCACAATCTGATAATCTTCTCTGCATTCCCTCTTGCATTCTGAGATTATTTCTCACATTTTCAGGACGATTTTTGACACGTCGACGTCTGAATTCGAATTCCTTAATAAAGTTTGCTACCAAACCCAAAACCATTCTTCCTAGTTGACAGAAGAAACTCCGGGACTCTCTTCAAAATTGGGGCAATTCCGATACCTCACCAGTTAAGAAGAGAATGATGCTGACAATAGCTCAAAGGATTTTCGATCCCACTGGATTCACTTTGCTGACGACTTTAAAGTCAAAGTTGATAGGTACTGCAGACCACATGGGAAAAGAAGCTTGGTTGGGCGTGGGATGCACCAGTAGATGCTGAGACTGAAAGTGGTTTTTGCAAATGGATGCATGATCTCCCATGTTTGTCGTCTATAAGAATTCTGCGATGGATTCATTCTGGAGTTGACGAAGCTACTAAGTTGAGTTTACACATTTGTGTATCGGCTATATTGTTTCAGTGCAAAACATAGAGGGTATTAGTTTCGGAACGTTAAAATTATCACGGTCTTAAGGATAGATTGTGATTTACGAGTAGCGTGACGTGGAGTAAATCGTCCATCCGGGGCAGCAGGTAACACAGATTCTGGTGGATCCATCGGGTTTTCGGGCCATTGCCACAGAAAGAATCGCATATTTAGGTCGTGATCTCTTTGCATAGCAGTAGGTCTTGTTTGGAAACGAAATAGTCGATATGGAGAAGTGACAATTACTTGATTCTCGCCTATAAATGGAATGGGATGCTCCCCATAAGGTAGGGATCGTGTTTTCTCGGAAGGTGGAACTGTATTGGACTAAAAGGCGGACCATTTATACGAATCTTATACGATGCGAGTGGAAGAAAGTCTTGATCTCTCCTTATGAGGAAAGTGTGGGAACAGTAGTCCTTGGGCTGATGAGGAAGAGGTGGGAAAATTCTGGATCTGTTGGTGTTGTTCTGCGGTAGTGGTTACAGAACCGAAAATCTGGGCCATCTTGGTACATTTCCACCGCGTGTCGACTCTGAAACTGAGGTTGTTTGCCTCTGGAAGGATTGTGAAGTTCGAGTGGGCGACTTGGTCTCGAAACCACACTGATGCTGGAGCAGTCAGTACTTGTCCATGAGCTTCACTTCTTGATAGGAAGTCGTTCTTTAATAGAGCTTCAAACTACTACTCCTGTCTAATTTTTGCCTTGCACCGGTGCATAGGTGTGCGCTCTCGGGAATGGAGTCGATCTCGATTTGGACGACTTGAAAAATGGTCAGCGAGGCCGAATTTTACCTAGGGAATCGGAAAAAGGAACAACGGACCAGCTTTTGATCTTATGCGAGTTATGCCAAAAATAATGGTCGTCCCTATTTTATGATGGTACTTGTGGGTGCCTTCCCAACATTATTCACTAATATTCTTTGGGAATTACCAAAACCTTTTACTGAATTGAATGAAGATGATTGGAAATCGGCGGCTTCTCTAGAGTTTTAGCAGCGGCGCAAACAGAAGTAAGAGGGATCCATCAAACAAGGGCTTCTAATATAACATGGCAGTCTTTGGAGTAACATGTTAACAAGATTCTTAAAAAATCTTTATTGCAATTAAAAAAGGTCAGTGATAGTTCTTTGGAGAATTTTTTGGGTCATCCTACAACAAGCGAAAGTTGGTAGGTACATATACGAAACGGAACAAACATTATTTACCGTTTTCGCAAACATTCCGCCGATCCGTTTGATTAACCATGGCGTAGAAGACACCGTCACAATCTTGCAACAACACGTGAGGATGGTCAAATTCGACAACCTTCCCCCCGTCTATAACCAAAATCTTATCAGAGTCTATCACAGTGTCCAATCTGTGAGCAATCGTCAGAACCGTGCAATTCGAAAAATTCTTCCTAACAGCCGTCTGAATCAAAAGATCAGTCTTTGGATCCACGTTTGCCGTAGCTTCATCGAGGACGAGAATCTTGTTGTTCCTCAGCATCGCACGCGCCAAACACATCAGTTGACGTTGACCAATGCTAAAACTGAGACCACCTTCGGTAATTACCGAATTTAAACCGAAAGGTAAATTACTGACGGTATCTTTCAGTTCGACATTCTCCAGAGCTGTCCATAGAATGGCATCAGAATATTCGTCCAACGGATCGAGGTTATTTCTCAACGATCCCGAGAAGATGGTCGGCTGTTGGGGAATAATCGAAATTTTGGAGCGCAAGTCACACAGTGGAACAGTCTTAGTATCGATTCCGTCGATTGTAATGGAGCCGGAAAACTCGCTTAATCTAAACATGGCGTTGATTATCGACGATTTCCCAGCCCCCGTTCGCCCAACAATGCCGACTTTCTCCCTTGGTTTTATTACGAGGTTGATGTCGTTTAAGATCAGAAGCTCACGTGAGTATCGGAGTGAAATGCTGTCGAAAACGATTTTGCCGTGTTCCGGCCAGTTTGGCGGAGGTGTAATGCAGTGATCTTCCGGTTCTTGCTCGAGGGCGCCGTATTCCAGAACGCGCTCTACCGACGTCATGGCGTTCTCCATTTCAGCGTATTGCCGGATCACGAACTGGAGAATGCCTGTCAATCCTAAGCTTTGAGTTATGGTTAGCCCGATATTTCCGCCGAAGTTATCTACAAACTTAAAAGAAGGCTTGAGGTGCGTGTTTAACACTTACTGCCAGTGATAAGGAGAAGAAATATGGCACAGGTGTTAAACATGGTGCACGATAGATCAGTCCAATAACCAAAGGCTCTGGATGTTGAGATGAACATGTAAGAGGCGGAAGAATTCAGATCTTGGTGGTAGTTAAACTCATTTAGCACAACCTGCTCAGCGTTAAACGCGCGTATCGTTGATAATCCCTCGATCGTGGCGTTTACATAGCCCAAAACCGGACTCCTAGCTTAGAATTTTGTTCATTATCTTCATATTATCTTCAATAATACGTACTTGTCGCCTCTATGCGTTTAAGCTTCCTACTTGTTGCGAGATAGAACTTGCGCAGATAGTACAACATTACAATAGCGATGGCAGCTGGAATTAATGACACGTAGTTGACAACGGCAATAAGAACAATTGCTCCAGTAGTCATAAGACCCATCAAAACAGTCTCGTGCATCATCAGTGGTAGCTCTTCATCGATTGTTTGTAGGTCTTTGGAGAATCGGTTCAAGATTCGTCCAGAGTGGTTTAGGTGGAAAAATTTTAATGGAGATCCGAGAACACTTGTAAACATGGCGTTGTGTAATCCGGTTGACGATTCCATGCACAAACTATGTAAGGTGACCATTGCAGCAATAACAAATACTATAACTCCGAAGATTATGGTTGTGTAAATGTAAATGAATATGTTAATTGGCATGCTGACCGACGAGGTTTGTACTTGATTCAAATTCACCCTGAAATCACAACATTAGGTACATGTCCGCTCTATCTGAATTAACACGCACCAGTAAGCGATGAAGTAATCAGATCCACTTGCAAGTACTTGGGCTATCACAAATAGAGCAATCACAAAGCACGAGGTGCTCCAATGGCTTCCCGCTGAGAAGTAGGTTTTATAAACTGAACTTGCAACGGCACCACTGGTTGTTTGCTCGTCCGTTGTGTCTGGGGCATCTACCTGCTTGGACACCAATGACCCTGTGCTCGTTGTTCGGACTTTCTGAGGATTTGTTTCGCACTCTGTGATCATTTCACCGTCCCCGTTGCAAAGTATCACATCAAAGTCGACGTTTTGGGAAACCAAGTCTGAAAAGCTACCTTGGGCTGTTACCGTACCGTTGTTCAGTACAATAATGTCATCGGCGGCCTTCAAATATTGCACCTGATGAGTAATTAAGACGACAGTCTTATCCTTCAATAGTGACTTGAAGCAGTCGTGGAAGATTGATTTTCCAACCCGGGAGTCGACAGCCGATAGAGGATCGTCCAAAATGTAAATGTCGGCGTTCCTGTAAACGGCTCTAGCCAGACCGATTCTCGCTTTTTGTCCACCACTTAGTGACGCACCATGCTCGCCCACGATTGTCTGATCGTGGTGAGGAAACAGTTTTAGGTCACGACTTAAAGCGCAAGCTTTCACTACGTTGTCGTAGCGTTGTTTGTCGATTTTATTGCCGAAAATGATATTCTGTCGCACAGTGCTGGTGAAAATCCAAGGTTCTTGAGATGCGTAACTGACACTTCCTGACACTGTTATTGATCCTGAGCTTAAAGACATCTCGTTTAGGATGGCGTGTGCCAAGCTTGTTTTTCCGCAACCGACCGGCCCGACAATAACCACTAAGCGACCCCGTCCTATACTGACATTGATGTCAGAAAGAAGGTTGGTGGAAGCTTTCTGCACAAAAACGTTGCGGAGTATAATTGCGTCTCCACTTTCGTCTGAGCGAGCGTGTGAATCCTTCTGGGTTTCATCGCAGCGAAGAAACTCGCTTAACCTTTCCAGCGGAATTACGGACTCCATTATCACATAAATTGCCTTTGGCAGGAAGGATACGATAGGGGCTCGCAGGATAGCGTAGAAAGATACTAATTGAAATGCTTTCGCCGCTGTTATATCGTTTCCTAAGAGCACAAAGGCCAAAATTGTTGCAAAAACCGACGTGCGTAGTACAAAAAGTTGGAAACTCGCACACATTCCTTTTACGTAAGAAGAAATACGCGTGAATCTGATTTCGAATCTTAAAAATTGAAGATGTTATGCCAAATTTGAATAGTAGGCGCTTTACCTGCGACATTCAGACACCAAATTCGAAAAATAGCCTTCCCACTTGTACATTTTGAGCACTTGTATGCCGTAGATGATCTCCTTCGTCACACGTACCCTTTCATCTGTTTTCGTGAGTATTTTCGAACGTAACCGTTTCGAAATTGTTCCCAAAAGGTCTGTAACAGCAAACTTTGAAAAGTAAATATCAAGGTTACTCACAATACAGCCCAACGAATGAAATTATAAAGAAAACACCAATTAGCGACGAAATCCCAAACTCTTTATATAGGAACCATCCAACTACCGCGATTTGAAGCACCGCCACCAACATGTAGTGTATCAGTAAAGGAATCTCGTAGAAACGATTCGAATCGTTTGTAACTAGCGTGAGAATTTTGCCAGAACTCATCCCTTCGAATTCACTAAGTTTTAGTCTCAGTATCTTCCGATAAACTAAAGAAATGCACGCGATCCTCAGCTTCAAACCCAGATTATGTACTGCCAGCAAGTACGGGTGAATTA